AAATGCACGCAGCGTCTTTTGAACGGTTTGCCATTTTTCGCGTGATTACAATTTGTTGTAGCAGCATTCATTCTTTTGCTGTTATAGCAAAACAATGCACAATAAACGCTCAACTACTAATGTGATGACACGTTTTACTTTTTTGTTGCACTGATTCTTAGAAAGAGAGATCAGCGAAATTCTTTAAATACGGGGGAAATCGTTGAGGAATGGCGGGCAAAAATGAATCTGCAGTATGCGTGCCAATGCTTCAGCTAGTGCATGTGAATAATTGTTCACTGTATATTAACCGGTAGGCAACACATACTTCACAGATGTGAGGCCATTTTATCTTTGTAAACCACACCTAAACTAACGGCTGATGGGGCTGAACAAGAAGAGGTCTTAGCTATGCAAGGCAACGCTCCCAGTGCACACATTCCCTAGAAGTCTGCTCTCAAGACTGCCCACACGTCAACAGCAGGAATTGGCTCCACTGGTCCCAGCGTTACCAAGTGTTGTCATTCATTTTCGAAGCTGTGCACCATAAAATGTAGCCCAGTTTTGTTAGTATCAAGAGAGACATATTGGGATAGTTGGTCACGATACATCTTAAATACAATGAGTGGGTTGAGGTACAGCACAGGGACTACTGAAGAGCACATGTGTGCCTGGGTCAATCTACCCTTCCATACTCTATGTTGTAAACCATGCCTCACTCTTGCATTGAAGAATAATTGGTTAATAGCACAATCTGCCAACCCTGCGCCCGCCTGCTTCTGTCCAATTTAGGTATTCTAATGACATGACTAAGGACAGCAGATGTGTAGTGTCCAGTGTATGTTTTATGTCGATCGCAATAAAAACTTGTATCGTTAAAAAATCAGTGCTGGCGTAGGGAGAGTTACCTCAAAATTCTGACACAGGTTGAAAACGATTCTTCGAAGAATAATGAAACCAATTAGTCTCAGTGAGCAGGCACTTGTTTGACCACATAGTTACGTCAGCGCTTGAAACGCAATACGAATATTTTATTTAAATTTTTTTTCATCGAGGTAGATTTGGGAAGAAACATATCTAACTAAATTTACGTTACAGATTCAATGTTCACAGACAGCTGCGCTCTCAAACGTTTCGGGCTCGATTTCAACATTTAAGACTGCAGCGTTGAGGAGTGTTGTTAAACGACCAATAATATTATGTGCCTTCTCGCGTCCCAAAACAACGATAGGACTATGAGAGACGCCGCAGTGGAGGTTTCTTGAATGTTTGCCCATGTGGAGTTCTTAAGTTGGTAAAAGACACACACCTAATAGACAAGCAAAAGAAACACAAACATCGAGTCGTGTGCAATTTTTCTGACCTCTTCTGTGCGAGCATAGCGAGTATTTCAGCGGCAATATTTAGTAACGAGCTCATTGTTCTAAGGGGATAAAAACCACCGTACATTTACATTGATATAAACTGAAACGTACAAATCTGAGAGGCCTTATTAGGCCGAAGCCTCCTTCCCGGTCATTCTAGACGGGTAAAAATAAACGGTATTTCTCTCTCTCTCTTTTAAGAGCCACTAAATAAGCTTATAATGTTTCTACTTACAAAACAAGGCCACTAATTTCCACAAAAGGCAGCGCTGATCCATTTTTCTAAATTTCACAGCGCTGTACCGTGAATACCGCGCCTTTATTTGCACCCGACTGTTTCTTTTTGCCTGGGCAGGGACGTAATCTGGCCTATGGGCAATAGCACGTAACACCGACTTTGACTATCAGCCACCTGCATTACGAAACGGCACCGTGGTTATGCGCTGGTGGTGTTTTGGCAGCGCAGTCCACATTTTTGTTTTACTGTGCTGTTGGTGATACTACCATAACAAGCGCTTCTCGTGTGTGCTGCTTTTTCTAAACTTTGGTTCAAGGCCACACAAATATACCTTGCCAAATAGCTGGTTGGTCGGGGAGGAGAAGGGGTGCTCTACTGGTCAAATGGAGGGTTGTTGCACTAAGGCCAATAAACCTCGCGGTCTAAAATTTTTGATAAGGAGATCACTGCACACTTGCACGATGTTGCTGAACTAATTTTGCGAATAGATGCTGCAATAAGAAATATTTAGGGCATATAAAACAAGCCGATTTAGCTGGTTTCGACCAATTTCAGCCTTCTTGGCAACTAAAGCGTACGTGTAGCCTTTTGTCGGGCCTGAACTCACTCCGGCAAAGTAATACGTCTGCGATTACGTGTTAGCAGGTTTCGCATCCAGGATTGAGGGGTCGCTAGCGTTTTCGCCGCTGGAGTAAAGCGCACGAGCTTTAGTGTACTTTTTCAGCTGGTCAGTCGCTCAAACCACGTTTCGTCACCATGCTGTTCAATCAAACCTTGCTCAAACATACGGTGGGACAATAACACCAAAGAAATTGTTCAGGCCTGCTCACTACTCCAGGCAAGCCCTGCGACGTCCCTCAGTTCGGACGCTTTTCTCCTGCCGTGTAGACGTGGGCATGCATGCTACCACATTTCGAGACAGCAGGGCTGCTAAGCCTCACGAACCCTATTGTAGGGCGCTGGTGTTTATTTGGGCGACTATACAAAGATGACAATGTTTTTTCAGCGTCCTTGAAGTGCTGCGTGGTGATTTGATGTGCTACGTTTACTGAATGTTTGCGTAGTGTACACCTGCAAGCTCTCACAGTCGGGCAGGACTGCGTGCTCAACTCTCACCGATATTGACAGTGTGCCGAAGGTTCGAGTGTTCTCGTTCCTAAAGGACGAACAAAAAGAGAGCCTGCCTTTCACCGCGGTGACATCCATATGGTTTCTCTCCGTGATTCGAAGGCATTTGTTTGTCTATACTGATTGCTTTTGCGTTTTTTTAAAGCACCCCCTTCAGTACGTTTGGATATTTCTGTAAAATGATGTCGTGGGCGTTTCTGACTTGTTCGTTGAAGACTTAACCTTAGCCGCTTTTAGATGAATGTCGCTCGTGCTCACCACCACGATAACGTGTCGTTCTGAAACAGTGCGAAAAACTCAGTAGAACAAGCGAATTGAGTGGTATTCAAAAACTGGGCAAATTGATAAATATTCATAGCTGGTAGGGGTAAACAGCACGAAATCAAGCATAGAGTAACAATAAGAAAGATGACGAGCTGAAAAAAATTAACTGAAAAAAATTTAACTGAAAAAAATTATTGAAGAGACACCAAACATAGATAATCTTTTACGCGCATGACCTTAGCAAGAAAACCTAATTTATGTATACTCAAGAAAATAATCTAATAAATATATTTAATTATTATAGAGGGCAATTGACGGTTCACTGAAGCAGTTTTGCCTTGCCCTTTGAATTCTGTGGGATCCAAATATTTCGTTTTGCAGCCGGTCATGGTGGTGAAAAAGAGCCCTCGTTCTCAAAATCTGCAGTGCACCCACGGTTCCGGCAGTGCATGGGCAAATGTCTCAAGGGCGCAATACCCTGGAGCAAATTTTGCTGCTCCCTCAGTCTAGAGTGTACACACCGCCCCGTCTGACCTATATAAACGCTTCCACACGCCAAGTGTAACCTGTATAGCACTCCTATGGCGTATTGTACTAACAAATACTTGTGGTTTTCGGAGCATGCACTATGCAACAATGAGCAGTTTACGGTGCGTTTCCGAACCAACGCGCAAACACTGCTGACCTAATCTTTGACAGCAAAATTCACTTTACCAAGACATGCACTCAACTTCCTTGGCCTATGCCAGAGTTGGTGAACGTAAGATATGGCTGATGAAGTGTTCCTTTTCAGGTCATTTTACCATGACATGGACCCACCTTCTTTAGCCTATGTGTTTGTCGGTAAACGTAGAGTGAAACGACAAATTTTGTCTCGTTTTTTTTTTTGGCTGATGATGTATTCTCTTTTAGGCCACTCTTGAAACTTCGCATAAGCCTTTGGCAAGCCAGAAAGCAATACCTTCGGGATAATGAGCTTATTTTAGCCTCAGAGTTTGTGTTTGTACGCTCGCGAGCATCTGATGATCACATGACCTAGTTATTGCAGACTTCAAGGTGAAAAAAGGCGATACTGTTTTTTTGTGATTTTTTTAATGAGCAGAAGCGAACAAAAGCAGGCGCTTCAAACTACCAGTGCAGTATTGCCAGAATATTTGCTTATCAAGAATCATAAGCTCAGCTCTAATAATTGCAACGCATCCTTCAGAGGCATTTCACATGTCAAATGAAAGCACAAGCATTCTCCCTGAATATTTTGAGAATGGTATTCGCGTTGTTCGTTAAGTTGATATAGAAAATTATATGGTCGTCTACATATTTGTAAACCTATCGCGCAAGCCCGTTCAATTTAGCTTCAATACCCCTGTCTGCTTCGCTAAGAAGATATTGCTATAAACCGGAGACACTTTTGACCCACTGCACACCCCTAAATTTTGTATATAGGCGCCCCCTTTCCACCATATGAAGGTGGACCTAATGTAAGATGCCAGAACCTCTAGAAAAGCTTCTGCAGACAGCTCATTTTGGTTTTTAAAACATTGCTCACCATCCTCATTATCAGTACTGTCATTCAGACTTTAGGGTAACTGGTCTTATGGCAGCGAGTAGAACAAGTCTCTCACGTTACAACTAAATTCATTGCAGCTGTACTTATGATGATCCCCAAGATATTTCATCAGTATTATTATAATGAGTATAAAAAACTAATCTTTTATATAAAAACTCTCAAGCTGTCTTTTCAGGTAATTAGTTACGGCTTGGAGCCAGGTGCTAGTATGAGACATTGGAGCTTTGTCCATAAGTAGGCCTGTTGTCTATTTGACAAAAGGCCTACTTCTTTCGAAGCTGCCTCTGTATCCTACCACTCCTGAGGCAATATTACGGTCTTTCTTACAGGCCGTGCACTTAGAGGCGCACAATCCAAGAAACGTCCCTGTCCGTATTGACAGCGCTTTCATATGTCCTTAGCAGGTTCGAACACACGTTTGATACATTTTGGTGCTATATATGAAAGACGATATACGTACGCTCTATTAGTTCAACAGCGTATTCCATGGCGTAGTCTTGCGCGGCTGTTTCAGCAGTTTCACTTATGGCGAGGCTTGATGCTTCAATTCCACGTCCTCCGCAAGCCCAGCCAGAGTATTCTTCGCATCGAGTTGTCGTCCAATTGATCCACCCAATCATGCGCAATGCTGCAATGTGAAATAAAATACTGCAATCGCAAGCCCAGCCAGAGTATTCTTCGCATCGAGTTGTCGTCCAATTGATCCACTCAATCATGCGCAATGCTTCGACCTCAGACAAAGACGTTAAAAAACATTCACACCACGAAGAGAACACAAACAAAGAAAGAAGGTCAGTTGTTTCTAGGCCCTCACGTACACAAACTCGGCCAAACAGCTGAGTGCTTCACTCGAGCCTTCTGCTTACTGAGTATGAATGTACAGTGGAGCACCATAAGGACGCTGACAACATAGGTGCCGAATAGCTCATCTGCCTTTGAACTCTCCACTGAACAGCGTTGAGTGGCACTACTATTTATTTTTCATGGTAAGCGCTATACCTTCTGACGTAATGGACTTGACAACTGTTAATCCTGTGAATTTTCTTTTGTTTTTGTGTGCCCACAACATTTTACACTTCTAAAAACTTGTTTCCTCCCAAAAAACTTTCTTAAGCAGGGGATATTGTGACGAAAGGACACACAAGTCATGTTTTGTGGGTGATGCATCAGCATAAAGGACTTGAAGTGGCAATCCAAAACAGAAACTGAAGAGTGGAGGGCAGGCGGCACAGGGTCTTAAAGAACAAGTAGGAACGAGTGACGACGACAGCGTGCAAGAAAAAGTCTCATGACGTGAACACGACAAGGCCGCGAGGGCTTCCGGAGGACGGTTAGAGAAGGCGAGCGTCAGCCAGGGTTCCTGAGGTGGGCATGGAACCAGGTCGATTCTGTCCGAGGTCCAGCACCGGTGGCCTACTTCGAGGTTCAAGGACCTGACCTGCGGTGCGGCTCCTGCCTGAGTACAGCGGTCAGAAGTGCTTTCGTGGATGAGGCCTGTCTGGTGCTGCCTTTGTAGACCATTGGCTGATCATGGTGTTCAGGGGTCGTGGCCCGCCCTGCTGAGTTGGCCTCCGAGTATTCTTAAACGGTGCTACACACGGTGCAAATTCGTGTGTAGCGTCCTGTGCTATACCGTGCGACCGTGCACCCTCCGTTCCAATTCAGCCCTGCCACACGACGACCTACCCGCCACATCAGGGGAACAGTGCTCCGAACCATGGCGTGGTGGTTTTTTTATCTATCCCTAACACGCAGAAACTCTAGGAGCTCGACAAAGTCATCCAGGGACGTGCCGGAACTTTGGACAGTTTAAGACTGCCCGCTACGCATACTTGCCATAACCCTGTACACATAGTTTTTAAGTTCATTGCTTTTCTATCTCCTAATATGTAGTGTGCTTTATAAAGTGTTTTTTAACTCTAAAGCGTTCTTACAAATTCTTTCTCATCAGGAAGCAGCAAGGCACGTACGTGACCAACGTCCATAATTATAACACCAGAAAACCAATAAAAGAAACCTAGTTTTTTTACGTTACTATAGCGCTCGCACAAGCGGTTATTGGCATATCAACCAGTCTGTCCTATGTAAATTGCGTCGCACGACAGAGGGAACAGGTAGGCAAACAGCCAGGTAACATTCAGCAAACTTGCCACATGCTTCTTTCCACAGGTGGGTTGTACCTCCTGCTTAGAATTCATAAGCTCACAGAGCAATCATACTGGCGTCTGTTTTGTACCTCTACTGACTGTAGCATTTTTTTATTCAAGGACAAACTGAGCTGCGCCAAAGCAATACCCATTTAATGTGAATATCCATGCGATTATGTAGAATACCACGGGTTTGAATGTTGTTGCAGTTGTGTTTAACCAGCTACCACACGACGTTTGTAGCGCGCTTGATAACTATTGTTGGATTGTATTGGTATATGTAAAATGGTTTCGTTACGCACCACAAAAGAGAAACGAGAGAGAAAAACTTTGTAAAAAGGTACTTCGAACCGCTAAAGTTGAAAAATTTTTGCCCTGCATGGGCGCTTGCACAAACAGGCGTTCGGCTAGTGGCGCCACGACGGACCCGTGACTACGACAGAATTTCAATCCCCTTTCGCGCCCAGCCGTACGCGGCTTTGTCATGTCCGGGGAAAAGGGGTGCCTGGGGATTGAGCCAATGGCGGGTTATTGGACCTTTAAGGCCACACGGCGTAGACAATACACTCGTTTGGCACCAGTTTCACGTAAATGGCACACCTGAGCCGATCCACCCAAAAAATTCGGCAGCCGCATTTTCCTATTATTTTCTTTCTCCCAATCGGCATACCGTCTCACTGTCAATCCGCCTTGTCTCCTACTCTTTTTGTTTACTTCTAGGTTTCCCGGCCTTGAGATATAACCCTGTGTAGTTGCCCGATCTCGCGTCGATATATATTATGGCAGCGACTCCAAGTGATTCACGTTCAGCTTCCCTTTGTTGGGCTTTGTGGTGGGTGGCCCCATCGCCGCCGAACTCGTATCTCCTATACGCCATACATCTTTCTTTTACTCCCTGATCGCCACCTCACAAGGTGGTACACCGATGAGAATTTCACTTTTAATTTATTTAAAAAACCATTAACCCTTGAAGCCCTTAATTTTTTTTAACTGGCAGAAATTTTTCTTTCTTGTTCATTTGGAGTTACTGTAACCACAGAATTTTTCTTTCTTGTTGATTTGGAGTTACTGTAACCTCAATAACACGAAAATATTTTTAGCAACCCACCAACACACAAAAAATAGCTATGTGTCCAATATTTAGGAAACCAGCGCTTAGTGGTTGTAAAGTGAAATAAGGTGAATTTTTATACCGCTATTTATATTATTTAACCCCGTTAGCGAGATTTACCGTCATCAGACTAACACACATCAGCCACGTGTTAGCTACAGTGCTCAAACTGTCCGATAGGAAGTTTTGCACTCGTGATACACATCTACATAATATATCAGAGTTGTTGGCAGGTTTCTCGACTATAATAACAAGAAATGGGGAGCTTTTACTGGAGCTACACATCTAGATGAGCCTAAATGCATTCTAAGGTCTGACAACGACTTAGCCCTGGTGTCCTATATTTAGAACATGAAGAATGTTCACTGCTGCAATTGATAGGTTAGTAATAGAGAAGACCCACTTTGCAAATAGCAAGTTAAAGATCTTAGACACAACACGAAAAATTACGATAGCTACTAATCTAATAGTTTAGCAGTAAGGTGTTATTTATTATTCGGTTTTGGCAAGTGTCATCGTTATTGCATTCCGCCATGTTTTCCACATTGTTGAGTTCTAAACAAGACGACGACAAATAAATTACTGTCTACGCTTGTGAAGTTGTAATGAGGATAGTTCGGACACCTTTCTCTAGTTCTGGCTTCATTATGTCACGTTTTGAAACAAAATTTCTTCATGTCCTTTTTATAAGACGCCAGGCTGGAAAGGGAAATGAAAACACCGCATCATATAGAGCCGAAGGGAATCTGAAACTGTGCGAACAATCTCACCATTCCTTGTGTCCAAATTTTTCACGGAGGCAATCGACCGAGTTAAAAACTAACAAAAATGGGGAGCAGAGATATACTTCCGAAAGTTCGTGAAAAGCTCCAGTATGAGAAATTGTCAAAACGTGCAGCTTTTAGGGACATCTTAGTGTCAATCGGCCCCCATAGAACCCATGAATAGTGTGCACGGCGTTATCTGTGAGGATGACTTTCTTGAATGCAGTGAATGTGAACTTCTCGAAGGATGGCAAGAGGGCATCGTTGACAAAGTACAAAGAATCACAAAAAGCGGAATAGAGAAGTTCTAACTAAGCACATAATTATACTATTGATAGTAAACAAATTCCGTGAATCGATCAAAATTGGCAGCTGTAAGCTTCGTTTATTACCGTGTGTGCCGTATCCTCATTGTTGCCTCAAGTGTCAGCGCTTTGGACATGGGTCGCAAAGCTTCAAAGGTCGCGTCACCATGGCTAAATGTGCATCCAGCGAACATCTGTTCAACAGTGGCAACTCTGTCGCTCTTTGTGCGAACCGCGAAGGGGACCACCCTGCCTACTCACGAACATATGGAACAGAAGGAAATAATAGAACTGAAAGTTTTATTCAACTTGTCTTTCCGAAGAAACACGCAAGCGTTTTGCTTTGCTGGGTGTTGCGCCGCGTCTTATCGCACCCACGAATGTCAGACATAGTGACCGCAGTGGCACTTCCGACTGAAGCACGCTGTACTGCTACGCCCCCTTGTAACCAGGCCCTGCAGACTGCCGTGTGTGGCGGACCTGGCGTGACTGTAATCGCACTTCAATACGAAACGACTGTGACCGCGCCGGCCGAGTAGGCACCATTCACGCCTCTTAGGAGGTGATGAATACAAGTCATACCCTTTCTGCACTTCGGAAGCCCTTTGGAGAGGGCCGAAAAAAACGGCAAAAATGAGAAAAGTCCGACCAAAAATATTTCGTGGAAACCGGACGTTTCGAAGCCGCTCCGGCTTTTTTCTCAGGAGGAAGAAAGCCCGAGATGTGCAGCACTTATATAGTTGCTGGCCATGAGCTAGAAGCTCGCGGTCACTCGTTGCAAGCCCTGGCAACACAGGGAAGGAAATCTCCCCGTGGAGCGGTTTATGTTTCCTGCTTTCTGCTGAATGTGCTATGAATCTAGGAGGAGTTGTCGGTGAGCCTATTTTCCTTTTTCCACAAGCACCACGTTGCCGAGACAGATGTGGTGGTCCAAAATACTGCGAGTTGTTTGACCTTTCATAGCGTAAGAATACTGCACGCAAAGTGGCAGCTTCGCAAACCACCCTGATACAAGCTGCCTACTCGTATATGCAAGACCCAAATGGACAACTTTACGCATTAATGTATATGTTCGGAGCTACATTGACATGTTGGCGAAAAGTTTTGCTCCTATGTGTGTATGAGACACTTGGAGACTCCAAAATATGGTGCATTTTGTTTCTCAGTGACTGTCGTTATATACGATTGAAATTTATGCATGATAGTTGCGCTGTTTTAAAAAGGGTTTATACTTGTCACACCATTTCTGAATTTCCCGCCATTAGACAAGGTCAGCGCAGCGTTAGTCATAACAATTGGCATGGAATAACTGATGCACTAGCGTCCTGGCTATGTTGCTTGCTTCATTGCGCAGTCTCCCTGTAATTACAATCTTCGTATTTATTACCAAGGACAGGGGCCCCGTTCAACCTCTGTATATTGTGACGCCCGATACTATCATTCGTTTATTTGCTTCTGTTGAAATATTGGACTTAAACAATGTGAAAAAGATATCTGTCTGTGCAAATATTGTGCAAACAAGAGAGGTGCCGGTTTCACAGCCTTGGGTGACCAGAAATAACACTCAGCGCCAACCTCTTGTGGACTGAGCTTTATGGCCTGCGCTTATTATACTGTCCACCCGGGTAAAAAGGGGAGGGACCCGGAATTGACTGCGATGCCCTTGCTTGCTTCACACTCCTCGAAATGTGCTTGCTGCTCCCCTTTCAATCAGACGCAATAGTCATGGCCCAGTTCCCAATGTCACCGGTATACATAAAGACTATAAAGGATTAGTTTAACCTATATTGAAAGATGTTTCGCCACCTTCACAGGTAGCATCTTTAGTATATATTGGTAAATTTTCGTGCTACCTTCATGTAGCTGAGCTGCGCATCTGTTTTGCAAAAACCACTTGCAATTACTATGCATTGCGGGCCAGTTTACAGAATCTAAATGAGTTGAGCAGAAAAATGACATAACAGAACAGTATCTCACCAAACTGTCTGTCTGCAGGGTCGTCGTAGAACTTGGTCTTCCAGTACGGGGGCCGCATAATAACGTTTCCTACAAATCAAGAAAGTTTGCTTTCATTAACTTTGACATAGATGGTGTAAGCACTGTAAATGTACATATGAAATCACCAGTCTGTCTAAGGATCTTTTTTCGTTATTGGCACTCAGTACTGATCAACACTATTGTTACATATGAGCGATTGCTACTCAATCTGTGGCATTAAGTAACACTAACACTTACTAGTTGACCTCACTTCCTTTCAAGAACGCACGTAAAGCTTACTGTAATCTCAAGGGGAGTGATGATTCCATAGGCGCGCGCATGGCGAAAAATGCAGGGGCAACAGCCGTCCCTCATAGACATCCGACTCTGCCCAGGCGGCGCTCTTAAAAAGCCGCTACCAGTGCCCCCATCGCTGTGCCAGCCATAATTTGGTTGTGCACAGAGTGCCGCCCGCAAGAGAACGTGCAAAGGCTATCCTCTTTCATTAGTCTTTCGGCGTGGCTTCCTGAAAATTAAGGACCTGGCAGGCTTCTTTCTTCAATCCAAGCTCGTTCCATAAATTAAGAAGCTCATCAAAACGAAATGCGGGAAGAATGTAAATTATATTTTGTTTATTTCGGCGTCCTGCACCTCGCAATTCAAAGGTGAGTGAGCATTGCATGGCACCGAGTTCAAGGCAAGCACATAACTTGGACATACAGCTGATGCCAAAGTGCTAAAGTGCATTAACGAACAATCTATGCGGTCAGTAGTATGAAGCTTGTTTTATCCAGCACGAAAGGCCCTGGTGATTGTCGCTTTGCAGTTGCATTCTTCATCATTTTCTCACTTGCAGTGCATTGGCGTGTTTTATTACACATTCTTGGAAGCTCTGTTGACACTTTTCTTCCGTTTGTATATATTGCAAGTGGCCATTTATGCATGTTCACTTTCTCAGTGTGACCGAAAGGCCAAACCGATGCGCCGAGATAGATCCGGTAATCCCGGAGACAAACGGCAAAAAAAAAAAACTGGTCGTGATCTTTTAGCGATTTACCTATAGGACGCACGTTTTCCCATTTCCTGCTTAAAGCCTGCCCTTACAGCCTTAAAAGCCCTTGTGTGTGTAACTCTGTGTGGTGGCGATAACTTCAGATTATCGGTGGTCGCAGCGTGCACGTGCGATGTTAATCGCGGCTGGGCGTCACCTGTCCACTGTTGCACGTCGCGCACTACGGTGAGCGTGTCTGTTAAGCTACCTCATCAAAGTGAACACGGTTCTACGTCAAGGCTACTCAAAACAATAGCAAAAGACCTATATTATAACACTTACTCAAGCAAACGGCTGCGGAGAACGCCATTGTTCGCTTACCCAACACGTTTGCAATGACGTGTATTTAGCGCTCTCGCCATTCTGCTTTGCAAAAGCTGGGGAAATCAATAAAACGGAAGTCGCCTACATCCGTGGTGATTTCCAACGCAACACTAGCGCAAACTAGAGCGCAGAGCTGTTGTTTGTAGAGTGCGGAGCTATTGCGTCTGCCCTTGTTTTCACCGTCGTTCAGGCGAGTGAACCAGCAAGCACTTCACGGTGGTTCGGTGCCCTGCCGCGGTGGTCTAGCGGCTAAGGTACTCGGCTGCTGACCCGCAGGTCGCGGGTTCGAACCCCGGCTGCGGCGGCTGCATTTCCGATGGAGGCGGAAATGTTGTAGGCCCGTGTGCTCAGATTTGGGTGCACGTTAAAAAACCCCAGGTGGTCTAAATTTCCGGAGCCCTCCACTACGGCGTCTCTCATAATCATATTGCCGCGCCCGAAACAAAGAACGAAGACGATGTGCGCGCCAACAGCCTCGTGAAAAGGGGGACTGAAGAAGACGACGTGCTTTTGTTTTTGCTCGCCTTCTCTTGGCTCCTGCAAAAAAAAACACACGCCGTCGGTTCTCGGACTCAACGTCTCGGTGCACTTCTTACGTTGAACCGCGACACTGGTGGAGGCGCTGGGTTGCAAGCCTGCCGATGCTCAACACCCCATCTGGGAGCTGTTCATCAAGTCCCGACACGCAGCCATCTGTTACGACACCAGTTCACTGCTTCAGTCGGCGGTTGCTAGGCCTATCTCCTGAGCTAACCTCCTTCGACGAACATTCTACCAGGCATTACGTACCTCTACCAATGGCCTCCGCTAGCCGGCCACAGTTGGTCCAAGGGATACAAGGCAGCCCCGTTTCCAATCCTACCCAGGTAACAAACACTTCTTCAGCCACTTGTGCCTGATCGCTGCAGTGGTGCCCCACACGAAGATGTTGAAGATTGGCTTGAGCATTACGAACGCGTTGCCGACATAAACCAGTAGAATGCTCAACAGAAGCTCGCCCGCGCGTATTTCACTCTCGATGACGGCGCTCACACGTGGCTTGAGAATCGAGAAGGCCGCATATCCACATAGGATGACTTTCGTCAGCAGCTGATTGACACCTTTGCTAGCGTCGACCGTCGAGAGGGGGCTCAGCAGTTGCTCGAGTTAAGGCTTCAAAAACCTAACGAAACTGTGGCAATGTTTGCTGAAGACGTGACGCGCCTCTGTCGTCGGGCTGATCCCAACATGTCCGAGGAGAAGAAGTTGCGCTACCTTATGCGTGGCGTGAAAGAGCAACTGTTCGCTGGACTTGTGCGCAATGCCCCAACTACCGTGGCCGATTTTATAAGAGAAGCCACTGCCATTGAGCGTGCTCTGCACCAAAGATCAAGGCAATATGATCGCTCGTCCACTACCACCCCGATCAAGGCCGCTTCAGTGACTCTGGACAATCATGCCTCCCTACGTGACCTTATCAGAGATATTGTCCGCGAAGAAATGCAGAAGCTTTGGACTCCTCCAGTGGATACACCAGTGACCGCCGTTGCCGCAGTCGTTCGTGACGAACTTAGGCATGCTTTTTCAGCAGCTGATTGCAATCGCGATCAGCGTCAACTGAGTTACACCGACGCTGTCCGCCGACCACCACCTGTCCCGCCCATTACATCATACTACCAGCCACCTACAGCCGCACCTTCGTCGCAACCATTGAAGGAGGCTTTCAGACGTCAGCCCATGTCTCCGATGTCTCCATGCCACCAGCCACCACTTGCCGCGCCTTACTCACCACCACGAGAGGACATAAGACGCCCACAATTTCGCAGAACGGACGCTTGGCGCACCGTCGATCGGCGCCCTCTCTGCTTCAACTGTGGTGGTGCCGGCCATATAGCTCGCTATTGTTGGTACCGCGACACATCGTTTCGCCCGTCTCGGCCAGGGTACGACGGTCACCGTGCCAATGACGACTACATTGTTCGCCATGACGACCCTGGTTTTCGAGGACCTTCAACAACGTGGTCTCCCTATCACGAGTCGCCTCCTCATCGCCCGCCCAATTCCGCCCACAGGTCACGCTCTCCATCCCCTGCTCAGACATCATCACCGAATCGACGTACTTTTGCTGACCTTCGGGGAACAAGGTCGCCCAGCCCTTACCGGGGAAACTAAAGGCGGCGAACTCTCGGGGTAAGGCCGCAGCCCGACCACAAGACGATAAAAAGTCCCCAGTACTGCCGCGACAGAACGACTAGACGCCGACGAATATTAACAACGACGAAATGGTGAGCGCCGACCTCAATGTTTTATTGACGGAGAGCAAGTGACGGCCTTAGTCGATACGGGTGCTGATTTTTCCATAATAAGTGGCAAGCTGGCTGATCATCTTAAAAAAGTAAGAACGCCATGGACAGGACCACATATAAGAACAGCGGGTGGTCAATTGCTGTTCCCTACTGAAAGATGCACAGCAAGAATCAGCATAGGGGACTCTTCTTTCGTCGCGACTTTCATTGTTCTCCCAGAGTGCTGCAAAGATTTAATTATAGGAATGGACTTTCTCAGGGAGCACGGCGCAATAATCAACATCCCGGACCACGTGGTTTCATTTTACGAGAGTGCTCGTCTGACTGAACCTACATCACCAGAGCACAAATCATTTCGTCTCAAAGACCACAATATAGTCGTGCCGCCTCGATAATGTATCCTCGTTTCAGTAGCATGTGACGTACCGTTCGACGGTGAAGGAGTCGCCGACCAACTAACCTCGCTGCTTTTCACTCACGGGATTTCCGTAGCACGAGGAATAGTCAATGTCACCGACGGCCGAACGAACTTGCTGTTGACCAATTTCACCTCCGAGCGACGGCACCTTCCAAAAGGCACAACGTTGGCACATTTCGACGAGATCGCAGATGTTCATGACTGCTTTTCAGCACTCGAAGCAACACCTGCACAAGACCCACGTTACCTAGCACCTAACCTTGACGTCAGCCCTATTTTAACTCAGCAACAGCGGGAACGCCTGCTTGTGCTGCTAGACGAGTTCCACGACTGTTTTGCGTCAACCTCGAAAGTTGGCCGGACGTCCTTGACCAAGCACCGAATCATCACAGAGGACACAGCTCGACCAATCTATCAAAATCCGTACCGTGTGGCTTCAAAAGAGCGAGAAGCGATAGAACAGCAGGCAACAAAAATGCTTGAAGACGACGTCATTCAACCGTCGAAAAGCCCCTGGGCATCACCTGTTGTTCTAGTGAAAAAGAAGGACGGCAGCCTGCGTTTCTGTGTGGACTATCGAAAGCTAAATCAGGTTACAAAAAAGGACGTGTACCCGCTTCCCCGCATAGATGATTCGACTGACAGGCTTCGAAACGCACGTTACTTCTCTTCCATGGACTTAAAGAGCGGATATTGGCAAATTGAAGTAGACCCCAGGGATCGTGAAAAAACCGCTTTCGTGACGCCAAACGGACTCTACGAATTTAAGGTTTTACCATTTGGCTTGTGCTCCACTCCTGCTACTTTACAGCGTCTCATGGATACCGTTCTCTCTGGCCTTGAATGGAGAACCTGCCTAGTATACCTTGACGACGTCATTGTGTTTTCTACAACGTTTGACGAACACATTGAACGATTGCAAATGGTCTTTCAGGCCATACGGGCCGCAGGCCTGACGCTCAAGCAGGAAAAATGTCACTTCTGC